GCGAATCTGGGGCGGAACCCTCGGGAAACTCTGCCCTCATCCAAAGTCTCCTGGGAGGCTGAGATTTAGCCCAGCTCTAGCCATTCCACAAATGCAAAAATAGTCAATCTTGACTTTAAGATTGGTGTGTGTTGAACTAAAATGTGGTGTATATAGATTCTCAGTGAATTCTGGTATTCAGATTTTATTCCACTAGTAAAAAAAAAACACAGCACGAAACCCTGACCATTTTCCTTTTCCATGTACTTTTGGCACTGTGGGGAAGGTCCCAGGTATCAGTGTCTGGCCTTCCCCACGTTTTCAGGCTCTGGCTGGGGCACGTGCCAAGGAGGCTTTGCCCTCTCCAAGGAAGGGACTGACAAACCCCAAGGCTTTCCTAAACGTCTCCCTCCAGCTACAGCCACCATTTTTTCTCAGTAGTTTCCTTCCTTTTTTTTCCTAGCACATGCCAAATGTCTGATGCTGCTCTAAAATAGCCCCTACGGGTGCTGGAGAGCAGCTGCAGATGCTTTTTCTGGGTTCCTTATCTGACTGCCAGATGAAAAACTGAACTCCTGCAGCGCTCCCAGGAGCCTGTCACGATAACCTGTGTCCTGGGTCTTAATACTGTCTGTCTCTGGTCTAAACCTGTAAAGGAGCCGAGTTTTAAGATCCATTTGTGCACCTGCTGTTAATCCTCTACAAGGAAGAATTTGCTTGCATTTTACCAAACTTCCTGTGCTCACGAAAACTCTCGTTCCGTAAATGCCAAACCCCTGCCTGGGCTGCGTTTTCCGTCGGGACGGTCTCCCTGAATCGTGTACATACAATGCCAGCGGCTTTCTGGGTTTTGTATAAAGAAGTTGTACAATTGCTGATGAAAAATTTTCAGTCGTTTCTTCAGAACAACACGAGTGCAATCACAAGTTTAGCCTATTTTGATAAGCAGAGTTCCAAACTGGGTCTGTCCATGACTTTATCTCGGTAACGCACCGCAGATTAAACGGCACATTATTGTCTTACAGAAGGTCTTTTTCTCATTTGGCTGAGATTTTTGGAAGTGGAAAAGTGCTCCTAAAACTGGAATTTTCCAAGTGTATGTCTTTTTTTTTTTTTTTTTTCCTTCTTTTGAGCTTTGTTGCTAAGTGGTCATTTTTAACCCTGGCTCGGTTAACCAAGTTCCAAGGGCTGGGTTTTGGTGTGGCTTTGTTTGTGTTAAAGCTGACTTGTATTCCTAAAGGTAAGTGAATCAGCTTCCTGAACGTTGGTGTAACTGTACTCTGTTACCTGGACCAGCCTTCCCTGTGAAACTCTCCTAACTGTGAAAGCTGCCACTTTCCCACTCCCCCCCTCAAATGCAATTAAAGTAAATGATAATATTATAACCACTATAAAACATCAGAAGGGCCATTTCTGGAGTGATAGTCCCTGCTGGCACTGTACATATCGAACCTGCCAGCACCGTGGAGCCAACGACTATACTGGGCATATTTTGTTGTTAGCTACTTTCATTTAACTGTTTTAAGTGCACATAATAGCTGGTGTGTAAATAAAATTGTCACAATCCAGTAACTCGGGTTGTTTAGCAAGTACAAGCTTAAACAGTTGAAAATTTCAGCTACAGCTTTTCGAAATGGTCTTGCAAGAAAATGTTCCTGGGGGTGCTTTAAGTAGCTGTGGAGGTTTATCTCCTCCAGTGAAAGAAGCTGAGGTCCTTCCATTCCAATTAAAAATATGTATTTTTACCCAGATATGACTGTATTTAAGCCTTTTAGTCACCTTTGACTCACTACTTTTTGAATCAGGTTTCTGAATACCCTGTTGCTCGACCAGCAAGGCCACCAGCTGTACTCGTAACAACCCTTTTCAAGTAGCTGTAACATTTAGATCTTTCTAACATTCTCTGAAAAAATTAAACATGAATGGATTTATAATTAAATCCTCAGCTACGTTCTTACCTAGCTGTCAGTTATTGTATTTCTTTATTTACCTCTGATGGTCATTTTAACTTTGTGTGTTGCTATGAAGACTTGCCGATGTCTTTAATCAAGCACTATTTGTTAATACTGTAATATCAAAATATTACATTGCGTTATTTTTAAAGCTTTCAAAAATAAGAGGAAAACCTTTAAAAAAAAGCTATTGCACCATATAATTTGCTGCACAACAGTATGGCAACCGCATATCAGCCTCTTTGGGTAGTAATGCTGCATAACCCTTGTTTTGAGCTGGGTTTCTTTGGAGAATTCATTCGTTAAGGTGACATTGTACAACGTTACTGTCTCGCAACCTCCAGCTGGGAAGGTGGTTTTTTTATTATGGTTTTTGTTGGTTTGTTTGTTGTTTTGTTGGTTTATGTTTTTGGTTTTTTTTTTAAGTAAAGGACCCAGGACTATGCTTCATACTTAAAGGGTTTTTTTAATTATTATTTGTGGGTGTACTTTTTATTTTCAGTGGAGTAAAGCTTAATTTACAGTAAAACTGGATTTGGGACCTACCACAATCCTCAGGGTCACTTTTTCAGGAC